TCAAGCTGAATAAAAAAGGAATATTGTGTTACTGGAAACACAAATCACCAGCGGAGTCCAATGCAAACTACATAAATTCACAATAGACAAACAAATCAATAATTATCCATGTACAACATATAATCAGGGAAAACAAATGAATTTGACATGGTTAGGCGTACTCCTCATAACATGGGGCGAATATGAACTTGCCTCCCGCACGCACTGATTCCTTGATACTCTGTTCAACATAGTACAACACGTCAGGGTGGTTGCCTAAGATTCTAGTAGTGGATATCTGCTCGGGGCATAACCACCCAACTTGGCACGGAGAATCAATGTCACATAAGTGCTCCTGTAGTGCTCTGCATGCATGATAATAGAATATTAATGGAAAAATAAACGACAATCACCACTAATATGAATAACATAATTTGAGCGGCATTGAATTACCTCATGAATGTTTGAATGAGGGAAATGTTAAGCATTGAACCACTTAGAAATTCCTTCACATCTTCTTTGTTGAGCCATGCAATTGCATCGTCATCATAGTGGAACAATGCCTTAGGCAGTGCAAATTCAATGGGAGTGTCACTAGGCAACATACTGACACAGTTCTGTAGATAAGTTAAATCTTTAAAGAGCGATTGAAACAAGTGGAGTAGCTTGCATAGCTAAACCTCTAGAAGAGTTCTTCGACGCTTTTTCACTCTCCGACCGTTGTTCACTCTTCTTCTTTGGCACCGGTTGATCAATGCTTTTAGGCTTCTCCACCCTCCTTCTCTTTCAAGTTTGGCTTTTCTTCGAAATCTGATAAAGCAAATCACGCAATTGTAGCGCGACTTCTTGCATCGTGGACACTCCTCCAATTGTTCATATTCATTTCGATAAAGAATACAATCGTTAGGACATGCATGTATCTTCTTATACTCTAAACCAAATGGACACATGAGCTTCTTTACATAATAGTAAGACTTAGGAATTTCATTCCCATCAGGCAACATCTCACTTAACGCGGTCAACAAAGAAGTAAAACTATTGTCCGTCCACCCATGCTTCGACTTAATGTTAAACAGTGTTAGCACAGCTGATAGTTTGGAGTATTTTTTACACCCAGGATACAAAGGCTTTTTGAAAGCCTCCGATAATGACTCAAACACGTCACCTTCAACACCACGCATCATCTCATCCACCCCTTCATCCTCGACCTCATCCACCTGATCATCCTCAAATCCATCCTCATCACCATTATCAATAATATATTCATCATTCCTGTATTCCTCATCCACACGAATCTCATTGCTTCTATCATGCACATCATTCCCATCAACATCCCCACTATACTCTCCTTCTTCATCGTGCCAAATCCACACATGGTATTTAAGCCTAAACCCACGACAAACTACATGATCTCTAATGATATCAACACTATTGACCACCTTCACATTATTACAATCAACACAAGGACAATAGAGGCAATCAACACCCATTCTACGCTGATAAGATGAAGCCCTCTAGCAAAACTCTTGAACCCCATCAAAGAATTCCAATGTATCACGTCTACCATACATCCAACCACGATCCTTCTCCATTAAGTAAATTGTCTCTAAACATAGCAACATATTACGAATAATGTATAATTGCTACATATATTATATATGTAAATCAAATTCAAACACACACCATGCATATAACATTCTTATAGTAAAAAAAATGCATATATGCTTCCAAAGGGTCCTTATCACTCCAACCTAACCCATCCTTGAACGTGTAATCTCACTAGTGAATGTATGTCGACTTTCCAATTTTAAGGAAAATCCGGCAGCATTTCCCCCCAGTTCTCCAAGTACACGATGTAGATAATTACTTACCCACATATGTACCCAGAGAACAGGGTGAGGAAATGATAAGCCAAGATGTTCCTTAAAATCGAAAAAAGAAGACATACATTCACCACCTAAGTGAGAGTAAACGTTCAAGCACAGTCCCAACCGGGACTATTCAAGACTTTCTCCTAATGAGAAAGCCTTGAACGGGTATCTAGACATATGATGATGCAAGCATTTTATATATTGTTGTATTTATTTGTCATTAAACAATACACAAGTTGTAATAGCATGAAAAAACTTTTATTAAATGAATAAAGAAAAAAAAATATAGATTAGAAAAGTTTATAATTCATACCACTATAGCAAGTACAATGGATGTATTCTTTCTAACTTCTCACTTGAGCTAAATATATAGTCTTCAAGATAAACTTGTGCTTCAATTCACATATGAATCTATAAAAAAAACAAAAAGAAAAAACAAAACTAAAAACAAAAGTTAGTAAGTATGAACTATCATTTGTCAATTGGAAACTATGAACTATCAAAGTATCAATCTATCATGTCTATCAATTAATTAATAATCAACAACTCCACAAGTATTCAAATCCAACTATTCAACTAAATAGCTAATTGTTGCAATACTCTAATTCAATCAAATAATCAATTATTCAACAAGACAACGATTATATATCATTTTATTTCAAGTTCCTAATCAAACTAGCAATTATCATTTAGCAATAACTCAATACGACAATGCATCTTCCAATTATCATTTTCCCTGGCCAATTACGATTCTTCTCCAATCTTTAGTTTTCTCTTTTCTCCTTTCTTCTCTGCGATTCCTCTCCATCCATTCTTTAGTTCTCTCCTTTCTCCCTTCTCATCCCTAGTCCCAATTCTTCTCCCATATTTTGTTTTTCTATGTCCCTGAAAATGGCCCCCTTTGAAGATCGTCTCTCTATACTCCCGGAGGCAATTCTCTTCACCATTCTTTCACTTCTTCCTATCAAAGATGCCGTTAAGACAAGCATCTTAGCAAAGCCATGGCGGTACTGGTGGCGTTCCCTGCCTAATGTTGAAATTAACGAGCGCCTTTTTGCCACCCCTGTCACCGGTATCAATCAACAACACCCAAACATCGAACTTGGAGGGCAAAATCACAAATTCAACCAAGAACCCTAGATTACAAGAACTGTACTGGATATATGAAAACCACATTCCTTTTACTCACATGATATACGAAAATACAAGAACCCTTAAGTCGAAAATCAAATCAACGACAAACCCTAGATTGCGAAAACTGAAATCGATAATCTAAAAAGGACAAAAACAAATTCTTACCTCGAAGCTGCTTCAATGGAGGTAAGAAAGCTCGAATCCGCTTCAATGGAGAATTAAGAGTACGCGTAATGGAGGAGTGATATGGACAAAGCTCAGAATGCACTTCAATGGAGAACTACGAGCACACGTAATGGAGGAGAGATATGGAGAAAGGTGAAACTTCAGAGGTGGTCGAAGCTAAGAGAAGGGCGAAAACGAGAGCGAGGGAAAATTGAAAATGAGAAGCAGGGGGAAAGAAAGAAAGAAGAAGAAGCAAGGGTTCCCGGTTTTTTTTTAATTTTGCACCGGTTTGAACTGGTGCTAAAACACTATTTTTCGCACCGGTTTGAACCGAACTGGTGTGAAATCCCTTTCTCCCTTTTTTTCTCTTTTTTAATTGGCACCGGTTTGAACCGGTGCGAAAATTCTTTTTCCCAATCCCGCCCATTTCTTTTACTAGTGTTACTTACTGTTCATAATTTTTCTATACACATTTACCTAAATAATTATTCCAACTACTTTTTAATTATCTTTTAAATGGAGTATTATTAAATTTTGTCAAAAAAGTAATAATACATTGATTCATATTATAAATGTTAAAGAAATTACTTTAAAAAATCACCTTTTTTTTTCCAAATACCTCTAGCTAATATTTTATTTCAATTTCAATATAACTATATATTCAAATTAATTACAATTTTGTTTCTAAAATTTTACTACTACGTATATATTATCACAAATTAAGGATTTATAGAGTATAATATAACTATAAAATAGATGTTGTGTTTGACAATTTTATCATATGTCTAATTCTAGGGTAAGGTAAAATATCACTCAATTTTTTTGTAAATTACGTAATTAAAAAAATCAATATCTTAGTAAAAGCAAAAAAAAAAATCTTTTGCCGAGACACTTGATTGAGATGATAAATTTTTTACATTCGACATTCATAAATAATCTACATACTAAAAGACAACAATTGACATCTCCTTATATATACAATTAAACTTTTAAGACAATAAACAAAAATAATAAAACTACAATTATAGGATAGCTTTAAACACAATTTTTATAACAACAAAGAATGACGATATCGTATATGTAGAGCATCAATCCATAAACAAAAAATGTAATAATATAGATTAGTGTTCGTTGCCCAATTATTGATTGTTCTTGCCTTTAATGATCAAAGTAGTATACATTTCCATTGAAATGATTTTTAAGATATAAAAGATGATACATTATTTGTAATTAATATGTGTGTGTGTGTGTGGTGCACTTTTGCTAATAGTTTTAGTGGAGATTTTAGTCTGTTGTTTGATTAATTTTTGATGTTCATTAAAAAGACATTTTTAAATAAGTATTTACTAATATGGCCACTAGATCTGATCAAACCAAACCCCGCCTAAAAAAATTCTCGGGTTTGGGCAGCCCAAATAATCCATTTTTGTTTAATTTTTTGCTTTGTCTATCAATATAGATTATGAAATTATAATTTCTACATATTTGATGTGTATGTTTAATAAAATTTTATTTGTTGGATATAATTAATTTTCTTAAAAAGTTAGACTTACCGTGCATGGCACGGGCCTTAAGCTAGTTTAGGATAAAATTGGGTTAGTTTTGATTGTTTTAAGAAATTCAAAGATAAACTTAACTATTTCATTCGTTTCCAAATAGCATGGCCTTTGCCCTTTGGCACATTTTGGTACACCGTAAAAAGTCGTTTTCTGATAATCAAGAGTTGTGAGTAAGTTTCATAGTAATGTTGAAATTGGTATTGTAGATTAGTGTAGTATTTGCCTACATTCAACCTCAATTTTTTGTATTAATTAATAACATATGTTCTTTATTTCCCCTTCTTTTGAGCAGCTCGGAATGGCAAGTGCATTAGAAACTGTATGTGGGCAGTCATACGGTGCAAAACAATACAAAATGGTAGGCGTACACACACAAAGAGCCATGTTGGTGCTTTGTTTATTAAGCATACCAATCTCCATAACATGGTACAACACCAAATATATTCTAGTTGTTGTTGGGCAAGACCACACGATAGCATCAGAAGCTGCATCTTATGTTAAGTTCATGATCCCAGGCCTTATCCCCTACGGTCTAATTCAATGTCTTTTTCGATATTTTCAAACTCAAAATATGGTCTTTCCAATGATCCTAAGCAGTGGAATCACTACATCATTGCACATAGTAATATGTTGGTCATTGGTATTTACATTTGGCCTTGGTAGCAAAGGAGCCGCCATTGCTAATGTTGTATCATATTGGATCAATTTGATGATATTAGCTATCTATGTTCAATATTCTTCGTCGTGTTCCAAGACTTGGAATGGCTTCTCGATTGCATCCTTACAAGGTATACCGGCCTTTCTGAGACTTTCCGTATCTTCAACTGCTATGCTATGGTAAAGTTCGTTTTTCCTGCTTGAATCCTTTTTTTTCTTTCTATATATATATTTATAAATAATAATCCAATACAAGTGCATGTGGCAATGAATACGAGGTTACTAAGCAAGTTAAGATTTTTCTCATTTGATAAGACAATTTGGTAAGGCTTACCGATTAAGGGTGCTTGGAGCCTCGGAGGGGAGGAACCCCTTAATTATCCCACCTATTTCCAATTATATGGCCTATTTTGCTCTTTGTAAATTCTAAAGCATTCTGTTTTCTATGTACTAATTTTAACAGCTTGGAATTTTGGTCATTCGAGATGGTCATCCTCTTATCAGGCTATCTGCCGAACCCAGTGTTAGAAACTTCAGCACTCTCTATATGGTTAGTGCTTAAAAACCATGTACACCATGGAGTGGGTTAGTTTGATTGTTTTCTTTTGAGAGAAAAATTGTGCAAAATAAATGTATTAATGGTTCAATGTTATGCTATGAATTTTACAGCCTCAATCTCATCACACTTGTTTGGGTTATTCATGAAGGCTTGAGTGGTGGAGTGAGGTAAGTTTTTTAATATCGAAAACTTTTGTATGTGTCGAGTATACAATACTATTAGGGTATATTATTGAACCTTTTAAAGACAACTTTAAACCAAAGTTAGAGTAACTTTTAACCTGCTTTGACTTAATTTTAAATTTGACATGATTTTAATAATCATCAACTTTGAACCAGATATTTTTTTACCTAAAGTGAGCAAAAGAATAGGGCCATTTTACCAAATCAGGTCACTATCAATTATACTACAATGCAAGTATCCATTAATGATGACTTATAACCAAATGTGACCTAAAGTGAGCCTACAAAAATAGCATTCTCTTAGTTCTTGTTCTTTTGGAGATTTTTTCAATTCAATTTAATTAAGTTTGGTTCATTTCAATTAGGTTTATCTTAGTTCAGTTCAGTTCAACTCAAAAGAATAGGGCCACAGTATATAAGTGCTATAAGAAGATTATATTAATTAACTTTTGAATGTTGTTAATTTGTGCTTAATTTCTCCAGCACTCGAGTCTCCAATGAATTAGGAGCTAGGAATCCACAATGTGCAAGATTAGCAGTTCATGTGGCTTTAAGTATGACGATTTGTGAGTGTATTTTCGTGGGATTACTTCTGATGATGTTACGAGATGTTTGGGGTTATTCATACACTCAAGATTTGGAAGTGGTCAAATACTTAACTGCTATGATGCCATTGATAGTAATAGCTAATTTTTTAACTGGAGTAACATGTGTTCTTTATGGTAATTCTACTCTTTTCTTTATCCAGTACATGTTCAAATATTTATCTTTCATAACATATCAGTTTGATTTTTGATGTTAATACTTTCTTACGTATATTAATTGGTAAATTATGGTTTAGAACTTTAAATTGACTTATAAGATTAATTTTCAGACTCTCTCACCCATTTCATTTTCTTTCCCTTGTTTCTCTTAGCTTTTTGTACATGCATCACAATATGGTTTCGACATTTTATTGTTGCTTATACTCGTAACTCGTTTATGGCTGTGAACATGTAGGTATTGCTAGAGGTTGTGGTTGGCAAAAGATTGGTGCATATATCAGTCTAACTTCCTTCTATCTCATAGGCCTTCCGATATCTATTCTATTAGCCTTCCATATGCACATTGGAGGGAAAGTAAATACATATTATTTTTCCTTTCACTTTATTATTTGACTTCGAACATATATTGCACATATATTGTCATTTGATGCTTTACTGGATCATGTTATATGTCCTTGATACTCTCTATCCTTTTTGTTGTAGGGTCTCTGGTTAGGGTTCATTAGTGCTTTCCTCATTCAAGTCTTATCTCTATCAGCTATTACGATGAATACAAATTGGGAGAAAGAAGTAAATCGTTCTTACCTAATTTCTCATTATTTTCCTCAAAATTTTGAGGACTTGATACTTAATAATCATTGTTTCTACTATGATCATTTGTGCGTTTTTCCTCGAGTTGATATTTAATTTTAAGTTCCACTTTACATATGATCGTTCCAATACATAAAAGAGTAACTCGAAATAATTACTAAAAAAAGGTCGCTTTAATGGTATGATTAACAAATACTTGTAAAAAAAATCACTTTTAACTCAAATATTATTGTATTGTTTTTTGTGGATTTTGTCCATGCATATTAATTTTTTAGCAGTGACTACCTTGTCTCTAATCTTGTTATAACATAACCATTTTTTTTTCAGGCCAAGAAAGCTAAAATTAGAGTTTTTGGATCCAATATTCTTGAAGATGAATCACAAGCTCTATATATCATGGAAGATGGAAGACCCCAATGCCAGGACGCAGATAAGGAAGCAGAGTGGATCAATGGTGACCCACATGCAACACATAATAACTGATGCATATGGCTGGATGAGGAAGTTCATGTCAATAATTATTCTAGTCATAAATGACAATAACAATTATCTATTGATATATTTACACCTCATGTTGGTATAATATTGTACCAAATATAAGATCTTAAAGTACCAATATATAGGCTTAAAAAAAAACATGTTTCAAAAAAAAAAAAAGGTTTAAAAAAAACCAGCACACACATTATTGTCATTCACTCATTCATGACTAGAATAATTTTATAGTTATACAACCGTAGATGGATGATGTTTTGGGCCCAATAAAAGCTACTAACATTGTAAAATTAGTCCTACTCTTAAAAAGAGGATGTTGAGAGATAACTTCAACTCCCACACCCACCTTACCTTTTTAATTGTAGAATCAATTCATTAATAGTTATAGAACATCTATAAAAAGATATACGAATTTGACAAATACATAACAATTCAAATATATTATTGAATTTTTCATCAAAACTACTATCGTTGAATATATAATAGATCTTTAACCATTGTACATCTCTTGCACATATAATTGAAATATACAACTTTTTTGGGGAGAAGATCTTATAATAATAAGATAATTTCCATTTGATTCATCAGCTTGTATTCAAAAAACTTAAAACTCTTGCGATACCGTATGATTCTTTATCAACGAATCAAATTTGCGGTACTCCACTATTACTAAACTAAACTCGTAATAATACTCAACAAATCCTACCAAAGTGGAATTCACTAAATTTAAACAATGTAGTTTTTATTAATATTTGGGAAATTTTGACTTTTAATATCTTTAAAAAGACAATGATTTGATTTTTATTACTTTATTAAATTTTATTTTATTTTACTAACCATGAAAAACCAAAAAAAATAGATCTTTATCCCACTAATAGTTTCCGTAAAAGAAACCAGACAGAAACCGTTAGTGGGGCCCACTCTCCAACGTTAAATTATTTTTTCGATTTGCGTGTTAAAAAAATATTTTGTTAAGGTTTTGAGGGTCATTTTATCTCTTAAGAATCCAAATTGAGCTTAGAATTAGCGAAAAGATAATGTAAATTGCTTGAGTAAGATTTTGGGGCCAATTTAGTTGTTTGGTTTACAATAAAAAAAATGGGAATTGGGAGTTACTAGGAATTGCAAAATGAGTAAGTTGTTTGGTTGAATAAAATTTGGTGAATGAGGGAAGTAGAACTTCTTAGGAATTCCCACAAATTCCTACAAAATGTAGGAATTTACTTACTTAGTCCCCCCTAGGTAAGTTGAAATTCCTATGGGAATTTACTTCCCTCATTACCAACCAAACAACTTTTAGAAATTCCCATGAATTTGGTTGAGAAATTTAATTCTCTTATGTTAGAAGTTTATGAAAATTTTCACTTTCAATGTTAACCAAGCGACTCCTTAATCTTAAAGTTACAAATTGAGCTAAAAATTGAGAAAACTTTCAATAGATCTAGTGTAGGCATACCAATATCACCCCACAAGACCACAAGTCCACAACGAATCAAAGATTTTAAAAAATGTTGGACTTCTCAAAAAAAAGTTTGAAAAGGAGGGAAAAACCTCCCCACTTTGCACACAAACCCCATTCCATAAGTGAATCGCTAAACATCACCCGCAAATTACCATATAAATCCCACAAATATGACTTGGTGTGACCATTATGCCCATTTTCTAAAATTGAAATAATCTCGGTTTAAAAAATGTGGAGCCGTACTGGCTCGCCGGGGGAGACCGGAGGGCAGGCCGGAGATGCGGGGGACGCCGGAGGTACGTCGTCGTCGACGGAAAACGAGGTAAGTCACCGTTAAAATTCACGGTTTACCGTCGGAGTGGCTCTGGCGCCTAGGATGGACGCCCAAACCGTAGCCTGGACGTCCAAGCCAGACGCCAGAACCACCAGAGTGGCGTCCAGCCCAGACCACCAGAGTGGCGTTCAGCCCAGACGCCCAGACCACCAGACTGGCGTCCTGGCCAGGCGCCACTCTACTGGCTGAGGCGGCCCTGCCAGGCGCCAGTCCAGTGGCTGTGGCAGCCCTGGCAGACGCCACCCTTATAAATTAATTTTTTTTTCTTTTTTAATTTTGTTGTTGTTTTTTAAAATCGAAAATGATTTTTTAAAAAAATTCGAAATGGGTTTTTTTTAAATTAATTTTGAAAATTCGAAATAGGTTTTTTTAAAATTAAGTTTGAAAATTCGAAATGGTATATTTTTAAATTTAGTTTGAAAATTCGAATTGGGTTTTTATAAAAATTAAGTTTGATTATACATAATTATGCTTTTTTTTTGTGTTAATTCTGTGTAAATATAGAAATTAAATGTATTATCCGTTAAATGTATTTATTGTAATATATAATTGATGCAGGATTATGGTGGAGACGGAAATGATTACAGTGGGATATTTGGACATGATGGTCCATTCGAAGAAGCTCAACAGGCGATTGATTGGGCAAAACAGGTTGCAATTGCAGCTGGATTTTGCTTGGTAGTAGTAACTCATAAATCTCAACGGGATGGTAGAATGGATCGCATTTTGAGATGTGACCGTTATCGCAACAGAGAAGACAGAGATTTTCGTACAGCCACTCGGTTTGATACAAAGCGGAAAGGTTGTGACCGGATCCACGAATGGAACACCCTAGCTGCATTTTAGTTTTTCATGTTTACATTCTTCCTATGTAATCTTATTTGTACGTTGCTCTTTTAATGAGAACATTAATCTTTTATATTGTATTGCTTACTGCATTTTATATGTTGCATGGGTAAGTTGCGCGGATCCACGAACGGTTATATCAAAATTTAAAAACAGCAATGATAATATGTTTAAGTTGGAAGCTAAAAGAACAATCTAAAATGTTACAAACTTACAACATAATGTCCAATTAATAAATTAAAACGATAATATTTAAAGTGCTCTATAAATAAAATGACAAAACCATCAGTAATCCCTCCTCGACGACGACTCCCACTGCGCAAGGGTCTGTTCCAGACTATCAACAACAACTCTCCCTGTTGCACTCATGCTGTCCTTCTCAAGAGAGAGTTTCTGTACGTCCTGCATTATCTTTCCCATCCACTGCATACAACAAAAAACAAAAGATGAAATACAATAACAACATATAAAACTTAATTAAAAGACAACGATAAATATAATATGAGACATACCGCTTCCATGGCAGTAGGCGGTGGCACATAATCATCATCGATGTGGTCGAGATCTGCGATCAACCTCGGGTGCGAATACCGGTTGAACCATTCCATGTAGTAATGGTCACACATGGGAGGAACCCTAGAGGGCGGCCGCTGCAACTCCGCAGTCCATAAGCGGGCCACCATCGGAAACTGGTCCCACGTCCCGGTCATGATATCCGGCCATTGCACGACGTAGTCCCTCGACGATGCAGGTCGGACCGCCTTCATCGGGCATGCCGGGGGAGGAGGGACAACTTGCAGTGATACCTGCCGCGTCAGCCCGACTTGCAAATCCTAGTTGGCGATACAAATACGCCAACGTAGCTGATCCCCAGGAAAACTGGCTACACTGTCGGGGTCACACGCCTCTACTATGTCGCGTGGCCTGAGCTTGTTTCCGCCGCTCTTATCCGGAAACAAGGTACATCCGAGGAGTAGAAAAACATAAGCACTCAGCTGTGCGTCGTGCGTCCTACGTGCACTGGGGTACAAACACCGCTGCAACACGGATGCGATCTTCACACCTCCGTGTTCCCAAACACCTAGCGCCTCGGTGTACAGTGCAGCCCTGTCCACCGCCAACAACTTCGCAAGCAAATCTGCCTGATCCGCATCAGCCACAGCACAAAGTCGTTTACCCTCAACACGAATCCCCAGAATGGCCTCGACGTCATGTAACATGATCGTCATCTCACCGAACGGAAGGTGGAAAGAGTTTGTATCCGGCTGCCATCGCTCAATGAAAGCCGTGATCAGCGTACTGTCAATCTTATCGTGCATGGTGGCAGGAACGTGATTCACCCCAGTGCCCTCCAGTCGCTCGAACATCTCGCTCTCCGCCGGCCAAGCCTCAGCCCATGTACGCAAAAAGCTACAAGTCTTTTCCCGGGTATGACATTTCAACAACCCCGTAACTGAAGGCCTCTCCTGGTCCTCCCAAATACGGGCAGCTATGTGTCCTAGAAAGCTAGGAATCACACTCCCTTCAACAGGCCCACCGGGCACCTCACTCCTAACAACCCAAGAATCATTACCGGCCCTCGACCGCTTCCTGCTTGCCCCAGATACAGTGGACGCAGATGATGTGCCAGATCTACTAACAAACCTACCACCCCTACCCTTACGCACCTCCACCATATGTGTCTCGTACATGTCATCAACCCTCTGACTGAATGGATCGTAATCATCATATGGTCCACTGCCATCGTCCACATCCTCATCCTCATCTGCGCCCTCCTCCTGCTCCTCCTCCTGGTCACCCTCCTCAGCATCATCATCGTCATCGTCATCCTCATCCCGACGGTGGATCCGTTCTCTACGAGCTGAGGCCGAAATACCACGGGATCTGACATGTCTATGCCCCGACCTCTCCACTGAATAGCTTCTACTAAGAAGCTCTACATTCTTCCCCGCACCATGACGACCCAGTGAATTCTACACAAAATTTTAAAATATATAAACATACAAAAATTTATACGAAAAATAGCTACCACTACCCAAATCAAATAAACTAAAAACATACTAACAAATTAACATAATAAAGAAATTAACAAAACACTTAAATAAAAATAATAGAATAAAAAATACACTTAGAAAGGAAATAAAACCAACACAGAAGAATATATATAAAATAAATAATTCATTCCCAATTAAAATAAATTAACTAACCAAAAACAATATCAATAATAAAATTTAAAATAAATTAATTAACCAAAAACAATATCAAAGTCACAAAAAAAATTTAAAAACAAATCAAAATAGAGAATAAAAATAAAAATGTACAAAAAAAACAAACAAATAATTGTAAACAAAATATAAACATAGAAAAAATACAACAAAATTGAAAAATTTTATAAAAATAAACAACAAAATATAAAAACAATTCAAAAAGATATTACACAAAAAAAAAAACAATATTTTAAAACAAATATAAAAAAAAAAGAAAAAAAAGGGGGGGGGCGCCTTGGCTGGACGCCCAGCCAGCGGTGGTGGCGCCAGCTGCAGACGCCGCCACCAGTGGGCTGGCGCATGGGCTGGACGCCACAGCCACGGCTGCGGCGCCTTGAATAAACGCCACAACCGTGGCTATGGCGTCCAGCCCAGGCGCCAGCCTACTGGTGGCGGCGTCTGCAGCTGGCGCCACCACCGCTGGCTGGGCGTCCAGCCAGGGCGCCCCACCTCCGTCACGGCGGTTTTTCCTTTTTTTTTTTTACAAATTGTACCTTGCCTCCTTGGGACCTCATTCCCTCCGCCGCCGCCGCCAATTCCTTGCCTTGCCGCCGCGACATTGCCGTTGTTTGAATTTTTTTCTTTTTTTTAGAGAGGTTGAAAGAAGATGAGCGATGAGAGTGTGAGTGATGAGAGTGTGAGTGTTTTTTTTTAGGTCAAGGGCAATATTGTCAAACCAAATGAATTTTATGGGCTTTATGTAGTAATTTGTGGGCGATGTTTAACAAATCCCTTTCCATAAACCCTAAAAAAAAACTAGTGACAATTAACACACACTCTCTCCCTGTTCTTCCCTCTTTCTTTCCTTCCTTCTCCTTCAAATTCTTAATTACTCCCAGAAAATGCTCTGACATTTTTTAATTTTTCTCGACTTTCTCTCTCCAATTTTTGAACCCTTTTCCCAAAAATCTAAAAGGGTTCAACCTCTCAAGCTCAAACTATCTACCATGGCGAGGCTTCTTCGCCACGCTTCTTCTTTGCGACGCTCTCTGTTTCCTCCAGAGGTCTGTTTTTAGCACATCCTTTATTTTTTTAATTATTTTTTTGGAGATTTTAGTTGTTGATTATTTATGTTTATTGTGGAAGAATAGTTTTTGTATTTTGTTATGTGATTTTGGGATTTATTTAATTTTTTGTATGATTTTTATTTATTTATTTATTTATTTACTTACTGCTTCCAGTGTTTTGGACTAGTATAAAATGTTGCAGAATATATTGCATGTTTATAGGATTTTTTAAGATTCGTCCCAGGTTCTGACAAATATTTAAATGTTGAAGAAAGAAAAATGTTAGGTATATTTTTCCTCTTTTGGGGAATTAATTGCGTGTAGATAATGTAATTTAAACTAGTAGTGCGACAACGGAATCCGGGTGGAGGGGTAGTACTTAATTTTTTAGCGTAGGTAATTTCAGTTTGTGGAAAGAAGAAATTGTGCTTGCGATAGTTATTGTGTTGCTGCAATTTGTTGAGTGGGTGCCATTGTGACAAGTTTAGGTATAATTATGAGAAAGGCTTTCTTTTTTTTTCTTTTTTATTTTATTTTTTATAATGGAATGTTTTGCTGCTTGCAGAGCTTCAGGAGAGAGGTGTTGGGAATGTCATCTTTTCAGTACAAAGAGTTTTCTTCAAAAGGTGCTAATACTTTACAAGCTTTTGTCTATTGAAGTATGCCGAATGGCGGGATTGTGACGAAGTTGTTATAGGCTTTAGTTGCTTCATTATTGTTGTTTTGATAGCTGTGGTTGAATGGTGTTTTTCTTTATATGCTGTATTGATATTATTTAGGATGTATTCCATTTAGAGCATTGTATTAAATTTCTTCCTCTACTTCAAAGAGAAGCAGTTTTATTATTGCAAAAAACATTTTAACTGTGATGATGCATTTGTTTTCTCATTCATCTGCTATGTTTAACTTTTATGGGTTTATTGGTGAAGGTCGAAAGAAATCTAAATCAGATGGAAGTGACTCTAATGATGAAGGCCTGTCAAAGAAAGAATTAGCTCTTAAACAAGCGTTAGACCAAATCACAACTTCATTCGGAAAGGGATCTATTATGTGGCTTGGTCGGTCTGTAACTCCTAGAAACGTCCCAGTGGTGTCTACTGGTTCATTTGCTCTGGACATAGCATTAGGAATTGGAGGACTCCCCAAGGTACTTTCTATTGTGGTACTTGTTCGCTTTAGATATTCCATGCATAAATAGATATCTATATTGGAAGGGGAAAAGTAAATATGATATGATAATGTTAAGATAGCATAGACATGCTTATGATGTTCATTTAGTTAAGTAGGTGTTTGGATTATCTGTATTTTGTTTTCTTCACATGCATGTCTTTTGATTAAAATATGAATAGTTTACCTTTAGTAGGTAACATAATTGTGCATTAAGCTTCAGGCCATTTATGCTTTATGACACGTGTTTCGGATTTTCCAGGGGCGTGTGGTTGAGGTTTTTGGACCAGAGGCATCTGGGAAGACTACTTTAGCCCTTCATGTAATTGCTGAAGCTCAGAAGCAAGGAGGTAGTGTTACTGAACAGCATTTTAATTACCTGCTTGCATTTTTCTATGGAAACAATGATAATGGACATTACCTGTTTTCTGTCTTAGTCTGATACTCCCTGCGTCCCTATTTTTTTGCCCCATGTCCGTTTTCTACTTTATTAAATTTTGGCTGAGTGAATTGATGAGAGAGAAAAGTGGTGGTCTCTATAGACAATAAAGGTATGTGGTAATCCTTAAGGGACATCCTTATATGGAAATGGAGCAAACAAATAGGGACAGAAGGTATATATATGTGGTGAACTGGTCAAACATGTGTATTGCTGATAGTAGTCCTTCCTTTCAACCCTCCCCATACACCTCTTATTTGTGCGGAACACATTTTTTTTTAATTATATTTTCAATTATTGGACAGGATTTATAAATGTATGAGTTCTTTGATGACATGCCTGCATAAATTTTTTCACCCTTAGCTTTCTTTTTGCTGTTAGAACTTGAAAGTCTATGTGATGATAATTTGGATTTGGAGTTGTTGGATACTAGGCTCTAGTTTGAAAGCTTATAGTTCAGTATCAAGGCTACTGCCCATAATTGATCTCTTTCTGGCTTACATATATGTTGAACATTTTAGTGCTTTACCTATGCTGATCATTTCATTCCTCCTATTTGTTATTGCTCCACCTTATTTTACTTGAGAGGATAGGACAAAGAACAACTTCTCTATTAGTGACCATTTCTTCATGAACTTTTGTCTGCATTGATCTTTTTACTAGTCAATTTTTATTTTAATTCAATTTTTTACCTTCACAGGCAAGCTGGATTTAAAATCAACATTGTCTGTTTTTTTTTTTTTTTTTTTTTACCTTATGTCTGTATCCTTGCTAGTGATTACATGACTCATGTATAGTCTTTTATCCGTGTAGGGTACTGTGCCTTTGTTGATGCTGAACACGCTCTTGATCCAGCTCTAGCCGAAGCTATCGGTGTAAATACACAAAATCTGCTTCTATCACAGCCAGATTGTGGTGAACAAGCTCTTAGCCTTGTGGATACTCTCATTCGAAGTGGTTCACTTGATGTTGTGGTAGTTGATAGTGTAAGCAAGGATCCATTTTCACTTGCATTTCTCATGTGTCTACAGTTACCTTTGTTTTGGGGTGAGGAAGTTTAAATGCACTTATGTTATCTATTATTGCTGTTCAGTGCCCAGGTAGCTTGGAGATCATTGTATTCATTTCAATGTACTATGCTACTGTGGCCTGCTTGATGAATTGTAATCTGTGTGGTTACTATGCTCGAACATATTGATTGTCTTTATCAATAGTTGTAAGATCTCTCATACATAGTAAAATATTTATTACTGAATGCAGGTTGCTGCCCTTGTGCCAAAAGGAGAACTTGATGGTGAAATGGGTGATGCACACATGGCAATGCAAGCAAGGTTAATGAGCCAAGCACTTCGAAAATTAAGCCATTCATTGTCTCAGTCACAGTGTATATTACTTTTTCTGAATCAGGTAGAGATTAAGTAATTTTAAATTGTAATCCTCTGTCCTCTCCTGGTTATGGCTGTTAAGAGAGAGATACATCTGATATAAACTACTGAAACTTAGAATGCCAAAATTTTGTTATGAATTGGATATGTTTTCTTGAGAGTTGAGGAAGATTTATGACATACTTGTGTGTAGTCTGTTAAATTATCAACATTATTTCCATTTTTTTTTTGGAAGCTCTTCAGATGTTTTTTACACTACTGACGTGCAATGTTCCTTGGCTTTTTCAGAAGAGCTTATTCTGTTCCCTTCGGTTGAAACAATTGTTAGTCTTAAGTTTTTGTCTGGATGACATTTTTTCAGGTGAGGGCAAAGATTTCAACTTTCGGATTTGGTGGTCCTACCGAAGTAACTTGTGGAGGTAATGCTTTGAAGTTCTATGCGTCGGTGCGCCTGAACATCAGGAGGACTGCATTTGTCAAGAAAGGAGAAGAGGTATGTAAAATGTAATCTATGTATAAACTTTCTTTGTCCTTGATAAGACTCATGGATGGCACTATGGCAGTAACACACCAACAGTATAACATGGCCCTAAAAATAACCAAATTTCTTTGTGAAATAAAGTACAATTAATTTTTTATTTTATGGTCTTTGTTTATTCCACCTTATTCTGATTTGGGGTGATCTGGTGAGAGGGCTGTTATGCATTAGAGATTTCCTGCTATGATAACAGTGACAACTTATTCTGGAGTTCATACCTGTTGAGCTATTGAAGGTTTCTAGACTTAGCTTTAGGATTCATGCGGCTGTATTCTAGCGATTTCCCCAATGCATGGACAAATGGTTCTGTTATCTCTAATTTGGATTTTGGACCAGTTGACAGGCGTCTGATGATGTCATGTGTCTACTGTCTCTTCTACGTGGATATGAACTGGACCAATCTTCAAAACAATTACACTCTTGTTCATTTGCCCAATTTTTTTCAAGTCTTAATCATTTTCCAAATGCCTGGCAGTGTATAATAAGTGTAGGAGTTTATATTAAGCATAATTAAGATTTAATTGTAACTCTTTTGTGATCAAGAACTAATAAAATATCGTTGCAAATAGTGTATGAATCCCCTTAACTATATGCACTGTTTCATTCTGCAGATTGTCGGGAGTCAGGTCCTTGTGAAAGTCATAAAGAACAAGCACGCACCTCCTTTTAGAACTGCTGAATTTGAAATCGAGTATGGCAAGGGCATATGCAGGGATGCAGAGCTCATTAGTCTGGGTGTCAAGCACAAACTAATAAATAAGCAGGGTGCTATGTACGCCTTCAACGGCCATAATTTCCGTGGGAAAGATGCAGTTAGAAAGTATCTCATTGAGAATGTAAGAGAAAGAGACGAGCTTGAAACAACACTTAGAGAAAAACTACTACATTCAGCAGAGGAGGCTGCAGAGGGAGATGTCACTGAACCTGCAGAAGAAACAGTTCTGCCTGATGCAACTGATGAAGATGTAGTGTCAGCCGCAGAAGCATAAGACTTACAGAAAGTTCTTTTCTGGATGGCTTTTGGTGTCAGATAATTTAAGCAGCTTCTACTACAGAGTAGTTGTGATCAAACATGTGCAGAAGGTAATATAAGGCTCTGAATACGTAGAGGATTTTTGCTTGCAATTGTCAGGGTATACTTCAACCTATAAGTTAATATATCACTATATCAGTGCTTAAACTGGGATGGGTGAGTATAGTTTTGGCGGGTCTCTAAAATTAGAGAAATCCTAAGCTACACCCAATGTATTATAGGAGTGAGGTTAGTTCTTTGAAATTTTGAATAGTGTATATTTCACTAATTTAAGAAAGCTCAAATTTCCAGGGTTATGGTGGTAGTAAAGCTCTGTTGTGTATCATAGTATCTGGAGGAATATTATGAAGAATTTTGGCCTAAAATGCAGTGGTTGGATTGACACACAGAATGTTTGTACAGTTCGATATAATTTCTTATATGAAGTATTTTGTCTGTTTCAGTGTTTATAGCTCATTTGGAAATCTCTTACATTTTTAGTATGGATTTTGCTAACGAAAGCCCTCGGGCCACTCTCTCCGTCCCATAATAATTGACATAGTTCTTATTTTTGTCCGTCCCACAATACTTGACACGTTACTAAAAATGAAATGGGATTACTAATAAAAATAATATTTTCTACATTTTCTCTCTCCTTACCTACCCTACTCCCACCCCATTTGTTGTTTTATTAGGTGTCGTTTGGTTGACAAATAAAAACATGGGAAGTTGTAATTCTTAGGAATTGAAATTATTTGGAGTTGTTTGGTTGACAAATTAATGGGAAGTAAAAATTCCCATGAATTTCCACTTCCCACAAAAAGGAGGTATTTAATTATTCGCCCTTGTGGTTAGAGTGAGGGAAAGCTCAAGTGGTTAGAGCTTCCCTCATAGTTCCAAGAGATCTTGAGATCGATTTTCATCTTCCACCCTTGTGGCTCTCTAAACACTAAAAATAAAAAAAAAAAAAATTGGAGGTATTTAATTACCTAAGAAAACCTAGGTAAGTGGAACTTCCCATGGTTAACCAAACATAATTTAGCATTTCCTAGGAATTTTCATTTCCCACATTCAACCAAACGAGGTCTTACAATATAAAATACAAAAGAGAATCTTTTATACAACAAACAAATGTTTTAAATGAACCCACTTGTAGTTTTCTTAAACTACGTGTCCACCCCAACGTTAATTTGGGAATGCATGCTAAAATTATACGTTAATCGGTGTAATTAATGTTCAAGTCAACATGAGCCCACTAGTAGATAATCACTAGCTATTGTCTTCTCTGGGCCCTATTCCGCAAGGATTTGCTTTGATGCAAGACAAGAAATCCTAAAGTCCTCTAATAGGTTGAGGTATCAGTTCCCATATAATAAAAACTTCGTTCTCCTCAACTTTCGATGTGGGAGCGTCATATGGCCTAGAGAGGACAATATTTACCGGTGGACTCAAGTTGACCTGAGGTATTACACCGTCTTTGCATGAAACCTCCTTTTTGCCTCAAATCTCTCGTAGCCAAGAAATACAAATTTTCCATCATATTGTCAATTTGTTACTATCTTTAGCTTGGTAACCCACCTTTTTATTTTTATTTTTTTTAATTCGTCTGATACTATATTTCGTTGACTTAACACTATATATATCATCAATGTGTCACATTAATGATTATTTGTCATGTGAGATATGGTGAGAAATTAACGAATTTATAAGATATTTATTGAAATTTATAATTTAATTTATACATATGAAATATTGGATTTTTATCGAAAATAAAACTTTAAACTAACCAATTTTATCTTAAAAATCTATCCAAATTTTATCGTAAATAAAACTCTAAACTAACTTTATTATCTTATAAAATATTTCCTCTATTTCTTTATAGTTGCAACTTGCAACACTTCTCTTTTCACATTTGCCGATGCATGATTTCGATTGTTAATATCATTTACTACCAATATGTAAAAATTATAAACATTTGATATTAAAATAATATAAATCGAGATGAATCAAACAAGATCTCGCATGACTATATATTTGCTTAAGTATAAATCATCAAGCTAGTCAAAGTGAAACACATGAATAGTGTAAAAGTCAAATGTTGCAACTATTAAAAAAACGGAGGAAGTATATCCAATATTTTCTTCTCCTACATGTCAAACTAATAATTAATTATTGCGTACGTGGCACGACACTTGGCGAAAAGTTGAAACGTCAAATGTCGTTACTTCGTGCTAGACTAAAAATTAAGCTTTATATATTAGTTATGATACGATATGATATATTTGGAAGGTTTATTTAAGGTTGAAAATTGTGTAAATTGATTAAAATAATATTTTCTTTAGTTTGGTGCCTTTAGCTGTCATGTCCTTCAATTTATAAGGCTAACGAAAGTTAACCGATATAACGGCTACAATAATGAAAGTTTCTCATGCTCAAATATAATATATGTGGTTGGTCACACCGTGTGATCATCTATTATAGAGGTTACTTTGTTAGTGTAATAGGGGTTACTTGGTTAATGTTAAAGGGTTACTTCGTTAGTATAATAGGGGTTACTCCATCAGTGTAATAGGGGTTAGTCAGTCGGTATTACAAGGGTTACTTGATCAGTGTAATAGGAGTTACTTTGTTTTTGTACAAGTGGCCACACGGTGTGGCCAGCCACACACAAGACGGATTGAAACCCGATAAATTACCATGCTGCCCATATTTATTTAATGTAATTTACTATTTTTAACCCTAGATAAACCTGAGATAAATTTGTATTTTCTCACGACACTCTATGATCAGCCACACAGCAAGCGCGCCGTATGTTGATTAATTGGATAGTTGAATGGGTTTATACTTAACTAGTACGTGCCCCCACACGTTGCCCTGGATACCTATTTTAGAAAGTGTACTTATTTGTGGCATGTTTAATAATAATAATACAATAATAATTGTAGTATTAAATTTAGTAGTACCTTTTTAAAATAATAAATTATTAAAACGCTTTTAAGTGAAAAATATTACAACCTAATACGAAGAATACATGATTCAAAAGGTTTGATGGTAAATCAAAGATAGACTAAAAAAATTTAATGATACATGGTCATATTTATAATTATTACGTGGTTATTCTCATAGGAGTAAAATCCTATTGTTAATATAAATTATTTTATGTATACTTTTTTCACAAATTTTTTTAAAAAAACCGGTGTTCATTAATTTAATGAATGGCGGAATTTTTGGACAAGCATCAACTGCCAATTTAGTGGATTTGGCACGTGCTTCCTAATGATTGCCAAAATAAAGAAAGAAATAAAACTTTTCTCTCTTCATTCATTCACTATAGCTTTCTCTCACTTCGTTTTTCTCTCTCTAAAAAGCAAGTAACTGGCAATTTCGAGCGTTTTCTCTCTCCTCCATTGCTGATTTTCGAGCTTTTTCTTTCTTCTTTTTCACTGGTGAAGTTGTTATTTGCTTAATTCAGGTTCGTTTACTTATTTTTTTGAGATTTTTGTTAGTTTAAATTGTTTTGATTCTTCGATTTTTAGGTTTTTTGATTTTGATTTTGTTTTCGATTTTCGTAGTGTTGATTCTGCAATGGTGAAGAAGAAGATTACAAAGAAGGCTGTAGATGCTGAAGAAGGTGTTTTTACTTAAATTTTTCATCATTTTTTCAAATTTTTCAATTGAAATTTCGCTTATATATGTTGAATTAATAGTGCATGTTATTTTTTATAGTTTTCAGTTGATTTTTTATGCATATTATGATAATTGAATTTGAATTATGAAGTTATTATGTTTAATTTTGCTTTATTTTATTGTTCATTGTATATAATTGATTCAAAATTTTGCTTATTATTCTTCAAATTTTGTATGTTAGGTTTTAGTCAGAGAATGCTAATTAAACTGATTATTTGTTTAGGTTTTATGTTTTAGTTAGATTATGTGTATAATAGGCATATTCGCATTGTGTTTGTGCATCTGTGTTTGATTAACATGCATATATGCATTGCTCATTGTGTTTGAGTAATAGACATGTGTGTCATTTATATGTTTTGACAATGTTCACTTTATGATGTTAAAAGGGTGACTTTATGCTGTTAAAAGAGTCACTATATGTTGTTAAATGATTAACTTTTTCAGTTAAAAGGGTCACTTTTTGCAAAAAAAGGGTCACTTTTTGCATATAAAAGGGTCACTTTTTGCATACAACAGGGTCACTTTATGCTGTTAAAAAGGTCACTTTATGCTGTTAAAAGGGTCACTTTGTGATGTTAAAAGGGTCACTTTATGCTGTGAAAAGAGTCAGTGTATGTTGTTAAATGAATAACTTTTTCAGTTAAAAGGGTCACTTTTTGCATATAAAAGGGTCACTTTATGCTGTTAAAAGGGTCACTTTATACTGTTAAAAGGGTCACTTTGTGATGTTAAAAGGGTCACTTTGTGCTGTTAAAAGGGTTACTTTAAGCTGTTAAAAGGGTCACTTTATGCATTTAAAAGTGTCATTTGTGCACATTATTCTATATTTTTCCATGAGTAATTTCTGAATTTGTATTTATATTACTTTAATAATTAAATACAGGTGGTTCAATAGGTGGTTATCGTTATAAAAAGCCTACAAAAGGAAAAGGAAAGCCTAAAGAGCCTGCTAAGCCTAAACCAGTACCAAAAAAGACCCAGATAGCTCCTGAGAAGAGCAAAGCAGTATCTAAAAAGGCTGGGAAAATTCCCGAGAGTGACAAACCAGAGTCTGAGAAGGCCAAAATAGTTCCTAAGAAGGCCAAAATTGTACCTAAGAAAGCTAATACAGTGGAAGATTCTGATTATGAAATGCTTTCTGAATCTGATTCTGAATCTTTTATGTAAGTATACATATTTTTTTATTACATTTTTAATTTTTTTTTTTAATTTTATATTGTTTTAGTTACATTTTCTTTCTTTTTTTTTTTCTATTTAGGGAGCAAAGAAGAATCATTGCAAGATGTAGACCATATTCATTGGAAATATTGCTGCAGAACTTTAGTCCTGAGCAAAAACAGGCTATTGAAGAAATTGGTTTTGGAGGTTTATTACATCTTAAATTGAAAACTCTTAATCGTCAAATGCTACCTTGGCTTGTTGAAAACTTCAATGCTGGTAGCTGCATGTTTACCATCGCTACTGGTAAAGAATTTGTTGTTACTAGAAATGATATATGCGATGTGTTTTGCTTGCCTTTGAGTGATATTTGTGTTCCTGAACTTAATAAAAATTCTGAAGATGAAAGTGTAGATAAATGTATCATTCAGGCATGGAGATCTGATTATGGTCTTTCTGGTAAGCAACCTCTTCATTTGTCAAAATTGGAGTCTAGGATGGTTGATTTGGTTGATGGAGGGGAAGAATTTAAGAGGTGTTTTGTTCTTCAAGCTATGTCTAGCTTTTTAGCTCCTACTACTAATAGGACTGTTTCATTGAAGTTGCTGAACGTTGTTGAAAAAGTTGATGAAATTAAAACTTTTGATTGGTGTTCATATGTTTTAAAAAAGTTAAAGAAGGCTGTTCAGAAGTATAAGGATGATGAAAATGCTCAAAATGTTAGTGGTTGTTTGTTGGCTTTGCAAATTATGTATTTCATCGTCTAAATTTTCAAGGTGAAAAGGAAAGTAGTACTCTTCCTTTAATTCAACATTGGACGGATGTAAAGATTAAGAAGCGAATTAAGTTAGAGATCAAAGCTGGTGGTTATGGGCAGGGACCATTGGATACTATTACATATCCTGTGTCACAGCTTAATTTTAGGGGAACTGTTTTTAAGCCAGCTCCTACTTTGGGTTATGATAAGGGTCCTTCTACAAGTGGTACCACTGGTCGCATTGTTGCATTTGAGCTTCCAGAAGGTATTATGACCGATGAAGAAATTAAAAAAATTTCAACTGATGTAAGTGTTCTGTTTTCTTATATTTTTAGTTATTATTGCTTTTTGTTTACAAAAGTTATCCTTTTTGTGTACAAAAGTTACCCTTTTTTGTGTACAAAAGTTACCGTTTTGTGTACAATAGTTACCCTTTTGTGTACAAAAGTTACCCTTTTTGTGTACCAAAGTTACCCTTTATTTGCACCGAAGTTACCCTTTAGTTGCATTAAAGTTATCTTCAATATTAAGTTAAAAGGGTTACTTTATTCATACAAAAGGGTAACTTTTTTCATTTAAAAGGGTCAGTTTATGCATTTAAAAGGGTCTTTTTTAGCATATATTTAGATTTCCTACTTATTTTATTATTTTTATTTGTAACATTTTTTTTTCATTGTTCATATGTTTGTAGGTTGTTCATGAAACGTGTCTTTTGTTTATAAGAAATATGGATGTTTTATTATTTGTTTAGTCAACTGGTTTTCAAACCTTGAATGATCTGATTACTTCTCGCAGAAGTGTTTCATTATCTTCTGATGATTTTGTTTCAGTTTCTCAAACTGAACTGCTACTCTCTGATCCTCATTATTTGAAGATTTTAGATGGTTTAATTGATGAGTGTAATAAAATGAAGTCTGTACATGATATGTTTCGCAGTTTTTATGAACCTACAGAAGGTAACAAAGATTTTGTTCCTGAAAAAGAACCTGCACAAGGTTTCAATGAAAATATTCCTAAGGATGATGACAATGGTCATGGAAAAATAGTTAATGAAGGCCTTAATGGTTCTGGACCTTCTGCTATCATTCCTGGTCCTACTCTAAATATTCCTGTCGGGCATATTGATCAAAATGACCCTCCTCGACTCAGAGCAAATAAATCTCTATGCTCTCTGGACTGTGGACATGTAGGTGTGCAAGTGCCTTTTGTAACTCTTTTTGTAAAGAGCAATGCTCGGATTTTCAAGAATTTGCCTCAGTTACATTTGGAAATTCTCGATTATTGTTTGCTGAAGGATGTTTCAATGGATAGGAAGTTAAGTGTCCTTTTTTATTATAATTATTTTTTTATCTGTTTTTTTTCTTATATTTTTTTTTAATGTTGATCTTATTTTTTATTGTTTCAGTGAAAGCCTTGTTACTTTTGGAATGAACTTTTTAATTCCAAGAGAAGACATGGTGTCCCTTGTTGCTCCACTCAGGATTCGATGGTGCGTTATTGATTGCTTCTGTCTGTATTTGAATGAGAAAGCATGTTTTCAGGCTACTGGTCCTCGGAAATTCTTCTTCGGTGTTAGGCAGAGTATAAGTTATTTCATTCCTTTTTTTATATCTTAACACATTTACTTTATATATATTATTGAGATCTTATACTTTAATAGTTTTCATTCTTGCATGTTTGTGACAATATTGGCAAAGGTAACGTATCTAGTGCTGTTAAGGATTTGCACGACATATGGGAAGGTTGGGTTAGCTATGAGAATCCAGAATGTAATATAATGGATGCTGATCTGGTATTTTTATTCTAAACTTAATGTAATAAATTTAAAAGAGTTCTCTTTATGATATGCTCTGTTTAAATCTCTTTAATTTTGCTGTTTCAGATCTATTTTCCTGTTCTTATTGAGAATCACTACATTTTGTATGTTATTGATCATACAAAAGAGTTGGTATATTATCTTGACAACATTATCTGGACTGATTCTGCTCTTGTTTATACAAAAGAATTGTGTTCAAAGATGGTATGTTTATGTTTGTTTTTTTTTTGTTATGTTACTGTTGATTCATTGTTTCCATTTTAACTTTTTTTATTTTAATGTATTCTAAACTTTTATATTTTATGTCAGTGTGTTCAAATGGGTGCTTTTCTTGGCAAAATAAATCATCCAAAGAGTTCTCAGCTACCTTTTTATGGTTTTGAAGTTGTTGAGTTGGAATGGAGAAAAGAAAAAGTTGACAATTTGGACTGTGGGGTCTTTGTCATGTATCACATGCTCCATTTTGTTGGTGAATCGTTCAAATTCAATGATCTCAAAACAGTAATTATCTATATAGTTTCTGTAGTTTTTTCCTTTCTAATGCTTTTATTAATTACATATTGATAATTTTTATTTTTTTTGCTGTTTTGAGATTAATGGAAGGAAATTTTTATGAGGAGAGATCTGTACCACACTGGTACTATGTGATTTGAATGAATCTAGGAACGATGTGTTGTCAGAATTACACAAGTTCAATGAGAAGAAGAAAGATCCTGCTTATGTCAATGGAATTGAAGAAAGATTAAAGGCTGCAATTGCTGCAAAGAAGAAGAGAGAAACAGAAGAAAGAAAAGTGGCAGCAGAAGCAGAAGCAAAGGCAGAGGGAGAAGAGGAAAAGAACAAAGGAAAAAGGGCAAAAAAGCAGGCAAAAAAGTTTACTCCTTCTAAATAGTGAAATAATTGATAGTTGTTAGCTGATTAGTTCAGGGGGTTTTTTTAACAATGAAAAAACTTAATGTATGTGCATACATTAAGTTTAATGATGTAATTAAACTTAGTTTAAAGTCTTTAGTTGTTTTTGGAATATTGATGTATGTGAATACATAAAGTAATTAAAAGGTTTATTTTTATGTTTTTTATGGGGTAACTTTTATGCAGAAAAGGGTAACTTTTATTTATAGAAAGGGTAACTTTTATTTATAGAAAGGGTAACTTTTAAGCAAGAAAAAGGTAGATTTTATTGTTAGAAATGGTAATTTTAGCAATGAAAAGGGTCACTTTTATGTAGAAAAAGGGTCACTTCTATTCATGAAAAGGGACACTTTTTTCTGTAAAATAAAAGGGTCAGGGGTTTTATGCATGAAAAGGATAACTTTTAGTGATAAAAAGGGTAACTTTTATTAACAGAAAGGGTAACTATTAGAAAAGAAAAGGTTGATTTAGTGGATAGAAAGGATAACTTTTATGCATGAAAAGGGTCACTTTCATGCATAAAAAGGTTTACTTTGTAGCATAAAAAGGGTTACTTTTGTGGGTAGAAATAATAAGTTTATACATGATAAGGTATACTTTTGTGGGTAGATAGTGTAACTTTTATGCATGAAAAGGGTAACTTTTATTGATAAAAGGGTTAACTTTTATTAATAGAAAGGGTAACTATTGCCAAAGAAAAGGTTGATTTAGTGGATAGAAAGGATAACTTTTATGCATGTCACTTTTATGCATGAAAAGGGTCACTTTTATGCATGAAAAGGGTTACTTTTATGCATGAAAAGGGTTACTTTTATACGTTAAAAGGGTAACATAAGTTGATGTGTTCCAATAATTAAACATGTGCTAATAAAAGTGTCAATCACATTTTCATTAAACTAGTCATAGAGTAAAAAAACAAAAGAAAAATGGTTTAACAATACAAGGTATATTAATTTCGAAAAAAAAAAATGTTCTAAAAAAGATCTTAAAAGAGTCGTAAGTTAGGTGTCTTTGATCCAAATTCTGAATTTGGAGGTGGCAGTGCTGGTTTTCTTTTTCTCTTGCTTTTTTCAAGTCCTCCTTTTGCTCTCTTGCTTCTTCCTTTTGTTACAGCCCTTTTAGGATCAAGAATTATTGGTACACATGTGCTTGTACTCGATGCTGAAGAAGCGTCAGTATTGCTTTGAGTGTTGTCTGCCACATCAGGAATGTTAGAAGCAGCTTCTGCACTTTCTTTCTGAGCAGCACTAGCAAGTAAGTCTTCCACCATTTTAAGACTGTTTCTGAAGCTTTCTTCCATAAATGCTCTTGTCTCTTCATTTTCTTGACTTTTTAAGATTAGATTGTAGTATTTCCTCATCATTGTTTGCCTCCATGGAATATATTGCTGTTTAGGATCCTGATTCTTCAACCTATCCCATGCCTCTGTTTTTGCAAACTTAGTCCATCTTTTTGAAACATACTTGTCTGGTATTCTTATTACTGAATGAAAATGTAGAATTCTGATGCAATGATAACATAACCATCCAGATGCTTAGTATGCATTCTTCATGTGATAAAGTAGGCATATAGTTTGGCTCTCTTGTATATAGTTTACTTGATGTGCAAAACATGGCTTGTCTTCTAGTGTTACTTGATAAAGTAGGCATTCTTCATTACTGCCTAACATCTGAACAATTGTTGCCATAGAGTATCCAAACTCCTCTTCAAAATTTCTAAAGAGTGATAAAGTGAAAACCTGTACATCAAAATCATGTAGCTTCATTTAAATTGCCATATATTAGGTGTAATTTATGTACTTGTCAGTTAACTTTTTACCTGTGTGGCATGCTTTAGCATTTTAGATAGAGGCAATGAAGTGAATGCTATTGATTTTCTATAGGTAAATTTATTATATTTCTTTGTGCTTCTCCAACGATTAGTTGTCTTCTTAAATATGGTATAAAATTTTGTCAAAGTAGTTGCTTTACTTGCTCTGAATCCTATGGCATGATTAGTGCTTTCACTCCTTTGTGACGATAAGATCCCTGCTGAAAAGAAATCTCTACAAAGGGCAGGACACCATTTGTCTTTCAACTCATACACTCTTTTGTACCAAGAGTGTTCTGTCAACTCATATTTTTGCAACATTGCTTGCCACTTTGCTTTGAATTCTTGTTCTGTCACACACATCTTTAAGCACTGGTTGAATGCAAATTTGAATTCTTTGTCTTTTTTAAGAGCTCCAAATCTGGTTATGGCATTTTGCTCCAAATGCCATATACAAAGTCTATATCTTGTATTAGGAATCACCTGCATTGAAAATAAAGGGGTCACTTTATGCTGTTAAAAGGGTTACTTTATGCACTAAAAAGGGTAACTTTATGCAGCTAAAAGGGTAACTTTATGTGAAAAAGGAAAATTTTATTGTCATAGCTCAAATTTGTAAGATGTCAATATAAATCTTTTACCTCCAGTATAGCATTTGCCATTGCTTAGTCCTGGTCAGTGACTATTGAAGTTGGTTTTCTATCCTCCATAACTTTAAAGAAGGTTTGTAGTAACCACACAAATGAATTTGTCGTTTCATCCCCAATAAAAGCACAAGCAAACATACAATTATGCCAGTGGTTATTTATGCCAACAAATGGAGCACATATAAGATTATATCTGTTGGTTCTGTATGTTGTATCAAAGACAAGAACATCTCCATATATCCTATAGTCTTCTAGAATCATTGAATCTCTCCAAAAGATATTGCAAATTCTTCCTTCTTTGTCAAACTTCACTCTAAAAAAGAAGTTTGGATCCTCTGATTGTTCCTGACTTAAAATGTTCACTAAAGTTTGAGCATCTCCAGCCTCAATTTGTTCCATTCTTAACCTTGAGCAGAAATTCAGGTGATCTACAACACTATGGCCTATATCCTGTTCTCCTCCAGCCTCTGTAGCCATGTAATTGTAAGTGTCCATTGTAGTTAGACCTGAAGATTTCATTGTTTTGATTGTTACAACTTTTTCCTCTGTCATTTTTCTTTCAGAACGATGGAAATAATGCCACTGTGGCTTTGTTAGCTCGTGGTTATGCTGAATAACATGAGCCACCACCTCAAACTGTCCTTCTTTATTCACTTTTGCTCTTATGCATGCCTTGCAATTTGATCTTGTAATGGATACTTGTCTTGGCTTTCTTGTTTTTACATTTACATCCTCTTCATCAACCATTTCAACTAACTTTGTTTTCTTCTGACCTGAATGTCTCTTTCCCTCAACAGAACACACATAGTTTTTCTCAGTTACTATTTTTGTGTGTTGTTTGAATCTAGTTGTATGTTTTCTTATTGAAAACCCCAGTATAGCAGCATGTTTTTCATACAATTCCAAAATTTCTTCAAAAGTTTCTCTTACCACACCAACAAATGATCCTCTAAGATCTAAACCATAAGCATCAATTGGATTTGTATCTGTTATTTAATACAAACAAATTAGATAATAACCACAGACATCATAAAAAAAAGGGTAACATTCGTTTGAAAATAGGGTAACTTTTATGCATGAAAAAGGTAACATTTAGGCATTGAAAGGGTTACTTTTTGCATACAATCTGAATTTTCAGCATACAATCTGAGTGTAATATTTGAGCATAAATAGGGTAACTTTTATGCATGAAAAAGGTAACATTTAGGCATTCAAAGGGTTACTTTTTGCATACAATCTGAATTATCAGCATACAATCTGAGTGTAACATTTGAGCATAAATAGGGTCACTTTTAAGCATGAAAAGGGTAACATTTAGGCATTCAAAGGGTTACTTTTTGCATGCAATCTAAAAAGTTCTGCATTCAATCTGAGGGTAACATTTAGGCATAAGTATGGTCACGTTTATGCATGAAAAGGGTAACAATTATGTATTCAAAGGGTTACTTTTTGCATACAATCTCAAAAATTCATAGAAATTACCTTCAGTTGCATCTGATTTGGTTGTTTGTTCTGAATTTGAATCAATTGATTTATCAGGAACCACTTGATTTTCTGCATTGTGAATTGCGTCTTCTGCATTCTCAATTGCTTCATCTGCATTGTCTGGATTGTTGAATATTGGTACGAATTCATCTCCAAAACAATTAGTTTCTTCTTCTTCTATAATCGATCGATTTAAATCGATTTCAAATTCAGTCTCAATTTGCCTCTGTTTTTGTAGCAATTCGTGAATGAGATTGCTGCAATTTGTTGTATCGAAAGTCGAATTCTCCATTGATGATCGAATTTTGCAATTTGTAAGTTTTCTCACTTTCTTTGTCCTTAATTGATGATCAAATTCTTCTATTTGTGCGTTTTCTCACCTTTTTTCTCCTTGATTGATAATCGATTTCTGCAATTTTTGCGTTTTCTAACCTTTTTTCTCCTCGATTGATGATCGTTTTCTGCAATTTTTGCGATTTCTCACTTTCTCTCTCCTCAATGGATGATTGATAGCTGCGTTTTCTCACTTTCTCTCTCCTCCATTGTTGTTCTGCGTTTTTTTTATTTTTAGGTATTTGAAATTCTGCGATTTTTTTTTTAAAAAAAGCACGTGCGAAAACCCGATGTACAGTAAAAATATTGTACACCGGGTACATGCAAATGGGATTGTACTTTTTATCCTAAATAAATCTATCAAATCTAATCTAACGTGACATCTAATCTAATCACAATAATATTTATTTGTCGCCTACGTGGCTCGACACTACTTAAAAATTTTGAATGTCAAGTGTCGCTGTCTCATGGCCTGTCTGCGAGACCGACTTTATATATTAGCGATGATATGATATGATATGATTATTGATTAGGGGATTTTGCTCCCACCAATCACCATCTGACAAGTGGACCAATCAGGTTCCGCCATGTGTCCGTCACATGGGCCAATAGGAGCCTGCCACGTGTCAAGCAATGATCCGTCCACCTTGGACCAATTACGACACAACATGTGTCCTTCCCATGACACCTGGGATAACCGGCCACCTAGGCCCAACTTCCGAGGGAAGCCCAATCAGCCCAAGGTTAACCTAAACCTAGATTGGCACGTTTCCCGAGGTTATAAATACCTCCCTTAATCCTCATTAAGGGGGATTACAGAGATTACACAGAGATAACAGGCTGATCACGCTAACAAAGCAGATTACCTACATTAAACACTCTCACCTAGAGATACCTAATCACTTTAATTTCCGCATTAATTACTCCTTAATCAAGTACTAACTTGACCGTTAGAGGCGGAGCTCCCACCACCAAGAGTCTCCGTTGTTTTGCAGGTACAGACGTCCGGTTCCAGTCTCGGAATTGTAACTCTCCCGCAGGACATCAGAAAACCCCGAAACATTTGGCGCCGTCTGTGGGGAGAGTACTTCTGAGATGGCATCCAAGTCTGTACCGACTCCTGAAGAGAGGCGTCCCCTAGACGACCCTCAAGTTCAGTCGGACCACGATACTGAGAGTGAATTTGAAGTTGAAGCTCACACAGCTTCAGACGGGACCCTAAGTGTTGTATATTTGGAGTAACACTCGAAATACACAAGGGATAAACCAAGGGATAGATAAGGCTAAAGAACCAAAGGCTTCTTAGATACAGTCACACCACTAAGAAACGTTTTGGATTCCTAAGATCACAAGCCAACTAGTAGCCTAAACTAGCTAACTAAGCAAAGGAAACGAAATTCCAAATCCAAGAATTTCAGGTTTTTGTTTCTAATCCAAGAAACGAATGTAAGACAAGTTTTTTTTGTTCCAAAAAATCTGATTTTTCATTCACATTTGCTTGCTATTTATAGTGAGCAAGCATCTTAAGTACAAGCTAAGTTAAGTGGCTTAAAGCTCACTTGTTACACGTCCAACTAAGTACATATCAGCTTTTTGTAGTCTAGATACATTAATAAAAGAAGCCTTACTTAGCTAGATACATCAAGAGCAAATGGCGGTTTGTAACCTCCAAATTATGAGTGAAATAAAATCAGAAACAAGAGAGTATAACCCCCCCTTGATTCACGCCAATCAAAGCAGCAACTTGGAGTTGTAACGGCTCCCCTTTTCACGCCCAATTCAAACAGCAAGTGAAGTGTAACTCCCCCTTGTTTCAAGCCTTGAATTAAGCTTGAATGTATGTAGACAAGGATGTACTTGGACGCCTCTTGAATGTACCCATTGCTGGCTGAAATAAACGGCCACTTGAAGGCTCATTTTAAAGCTTGTAACTCCTCATTGAAGCTGATTGTAACACCCAAGTTAAAGCCTTAAAATACCTCCAAATTAGTTTCGGATTTTATGCCTTCTTCACAAGCTTAAACGGCTGCTTTTGTGATGCATCTTGATCTTGTACTTGATGTGTGAATGTAACATTACATGTTCAGCTAAAAGAACTAAAGAGCATAACTAATTTGCAAACTTAAAATAAGATTAAAGTTTACAACTTATTCAAAGCATAAAAAGAACTAGAATAAACTAGTTAATAAGAACAACAAGAAATTCAAGGGGTTGAATATCTTGCTGCCCAAGGATAGAATGCATAGCACCAAAACATGATGCTACATCTTGAACCAAAGAAATGTCCATAACCAAGTTGTTAGGCTTGGCTACAACATTCCCCCCTTCTTGAAAAGAGTTTGCCCTCAAACTCGGCAACTCTTCAAACTCATCATAGTAAGGTGATAAATCAGCCACATTAAAGGTGCTAGAAACACCATAGTCTCCGGGCAACTCAACTTTGTAAGCATTATCATTCACCTTTTCAACAATAGCAAATGGACCATCACTACGAGGACTAACCTTGGACCGTCTTTTGGAAGGAAATCTTTCCTTTCGAAGATGAATCCAAACTAAGTCACCGGGCTGAAAACGGACCTCCTTTCTTTTCTTGTCATAGTATGCCTTAGTCTTTGCATTAGTTTGTTCAATTTTGGAACGAACTTGCTCATGCATAGACTTGATTTCTTTTGCGCGCACCTCGGCATCATTGCTGAACTTGTTTGGTGAGGGAATGGGAGTGAGATCAATAGGAGTGCACGGATTGAATCCATACACCACTTCAAAAGGACTCAAACCTGTTGTCTTGCTAGGCACACGATTGTAAGCAAACTCCGCATGAGGAAGCATCTCTTCCCATTGCTTGGGACGTTTAGTAGCCAAAGACCGCAGCAAGGATCCCAAAGTTCTATTAGTCACTTCGGTTTGACCATCTGTTTGAGGATGACTTGAAGTGCTAAAGTTCAATTTCGTGCCCATCTTCCTCCATAATGTAAGCCAAAAATGACTTAGAAATTTTGGATCACGATCACTCACCATGGATTTAGGTACACCATGTAAACGAACAATCTCATTGAAAAACAAGTTAGCAACATGAGTAGCATCATAAGTTGTATGACAAGCAATAAAATGGGCCATTTTAGAAAATCGGTCCACAACAACCATTATAGAATCTTTCTTTCGTTGGGTGATAGGAAGTCCCACAACGAAATCAAGACTAATATCCTCCCATGGTGCTTGCGGAATAGGTAAGGGCAAAAGATAGCCTTGAGGTAGACTATGACTCTTGGCCTTTTGACATGTCACGCATCTTTTCACAATGAACTCCACATCACGGACCAACCTAGGCCAATGAAAGTATTCTTGGATAAGAAGAGTAGTCTTCTCTATGCCAAAGTGTCCCGCCATTCCTCCTTCATGAAACTCTTTGATAAGAGATTCTCTTAGGCTTGATCTTGGAATGCACAACCTGTTTCCTTTGAACAAATAGCCATCTAAAATGTAATAATCTTTGTAAGCATGATTAGAACATTTTAAAAATAAATCACCAAAGTCATGATCATTGTGGTAACTTGCTTTTACATCATCAACACTAATCACCCTTGCTTTGAAAGAATTCAAGAGTGTATATCTCCTTGAAAGCGCATCAGCTCCTTTGTTCATGGCGCCTCTCCTATGCTTGATCACGAAATGAAAAGCTTGCAAATACTCCACCCATTTGGCATGGCGAGGTTGGAGTTTTTGTTGGCTTTGAAGATATTTGAGGGCTTCATGATCCGAATGAAGGATGAACTCCTTGGAAATGAGGTAATGTCTCCAATGGTCCAAAGCACGAACAAGAGCAAAGAACTCCTTATCATAGGTGCTATACTTCCGTTGTGCTTCATTGAGTTTTTCACTAAAGTAGGCAAGGGGACGCCCAACTTGTGACAAAACAGCACCAATACCAACTCCACTAGCATCGCACTCAACTTCAAAAACTTCATCAAAGTTAGGCAAAGCAAGAATAGGTGCACTAGTAAGTTGATGTTTTACCTCATCAAAGGCCTTTTGAGCCTTATCATTCCAAACTAACTTCTGATTTTTAGTTAGTTCCGTGATAGGTGCCATGAGAGTGCTAAAGTTCCGTACAAATCTTCTATAGAAAGAAGCAAGTCCATGAAAGCTTCGAACTTGTTGGACGGTTTGTGGTGTAGGCCACTCACGAATTGCAGCAACTTTCTTTTCATCAACTTCAATGCCTTGTGATGAAACTTTAAAGCCAAGAAAAATAACTTGGGAAGTGAAGAAATGACACTTCTCTAAGTTACCATACAACTTTTCACGTTCAAGGGCTTCAAAAACCTGTTGCAAATGCATAGAATGCTCTTCTTCCTCCCTACTATACACCAAGATATCATCAAAATAAACTACAACAAATTTACCCATGAAAGGTTGCATAACCTGATTCATAAGGCGCATAAATGTGGATGGTGCATTAGACAAACCAAATGGCATCACAAGCCATTCATAGAGGCCCTCCTTTGTCTTGAAAGCGGTTTTCCATTCATCTCCTTCGAAAATTCGAATTTGATGATAGCCACTTCTCAAATCAATTTTAGAGAACACTTTAGAACCATGCAAATCATCAAGTAAATCATTCAACCTTGGAATAGGAAACCGGTACTTGATAGTGATTTTATTGATTGACCTACTATCAACACACATTCTCCATTCTCCATTCTTCTTAGGCACAATCAAAGTAGGACAAGCACATGGACTAAGAGACTTACGAATAAGACCCTTGGATAGTAGTTCTTCCACTTGCCTCCTAATCTCTTCGGTTTCTTTTGGGGTGGTTCTATAGGCTGGTTTGTTTGGGAGCATTGATCCGGGAACAAGATCAATTTTGTGTTGTATGTCACGTTTTGGGGGTAAGCCATGGGGAATGTCTTCGGGGAAAACATGGGAAAAGGTTTTGAGAAGAGGGGTGAGGAGTGG